AATTATTCCTATGATAGCATTTCATTCTCTGTTGCTTTGCTAAAGAGATGCTGACCTATAACAATTTTTACTTTCCTCAAGAGGAAGCTGTGAGATAGCCAAGTCGTTAGTAAGTAATGGGGAAAAGAATTCTCAACTTTCCATAGTAAGAAGCATGTAATATGTTTAAGAAAAGTTTCTTGAAAAAATTGTGCAGGTGTTCTGCTGTTTCCAGCTCTCACCCTTTCCCTCTCAGCAGCGCTGCTGTAGGCAATGCTTCCAGAGCCCCAGCCTTGTCTTCAGCCTCCAGTACTGTAAACTTGGTCCTGAAGCTGCAGGAGAGGCCTCAACTTCAGTTTCTTTCCTGTTCATATCAATCTGAAAGCAGCCATAAGCTTTGCTCTACATTAACACATGCTGCTGGTTGGGCTCTCCAGACACGATTCTGTTACTAGGCAGGTGTTATTAACAGTTTAGGGCAGAACTGGCTTTCCTGGCATGCAAGCTGTTTTGTTTCTGCTGGGAAGGCAGAAACATGGATGATGTGAAATACTCAAGTTAGCACCTTGTGCTGGTCATTCCTGTTTCCTAGTTCGTTTGAAAGGGAGAACTAACTTCAAATGTGAGAGAACAGATACAGGGAGCAACGACCTCCGTGCAGCTGGAGCCCTCACCCTCTATCTGAATCATATCCTAAGTGAACACTCCATGTTATCAGCTGCAGGTGGAGCTGTATGAGCTCAGCCAGGATTTTCCGCTCAGTTAAAGCAAGCAAAAAACCTCCCAACAAACCACTAAACATTTCCTCCTAAGATTGCATTGCATCCTCTATGTTCATATTCAACACTGTGAAAAGAAGGAAGGGAGTATTTTTAGCGTGACGCTAGACAGAAATTCCTATGGTGGAAGTGCAAGGAGGGCTAAGAAAAAAGGGATTTCTGGGTGCTTTGTTTTGTTCCCTGTCCCGTGGCTCTGGACACTCACCTGCCCTTTCCACCGGGAGGAGATGGAGCTAACGCTGCCTTCCGCGGGCATGACGGTCTCAGGTGAAGCCTGCTGAAGCCACCTGCCTTCGGTGGTGGCTTCGACTAAACGAGAGAGCCGGGGGCTGTGCGCAAGGACCCCCGGCGGAGCACCTCACCTCACCTCACCGCACCGCGGAAGGCCCCGGCCGGAGACTGGGCCCGCCCCATGTCCCCACCACCACCGGGAGCGGAGAGAAGGGGAGCCACGACCGGCGCTGGGGGAGGATCCTGCCCGCCACCCCGCTCCCTGCCGGGGGCCGGGTGTGCGGGACAGAGCGCAGCGGCGATGGCCCTGCTGCCGCGGCGGTTTCTCTGCTTCGTGCTGGGTAAGTAGCTGCGCACCCCCGGGCTCCAAACTTACCGATGCCGGGCGGGACGCGGAAAGAGCGGCGGTACCGTGGGGTGGGGACAGCGGGAAAAGCTCCCCTGGAAGCCTCGGTGCCTCTGCCCTGCGAGCGGAGACGGTGCGCAACACTGGCCGCCTCCTCGGAGGCTTTACCCCGACCCGATCCTGAAATGTGCCAAGTTGCCAGCGCGGAAAGCAGGTGGAAATGGAAAGGAGAAATCATCTGAGAGCTCCAGGGCATAACAAAACATCTCACTTGGCCTCTAAATATGTCAGATGAAGATGCTGTCAAATACAGCCTGTTTTGTGTAGGATTTCCCGTTTGGTGGGTGAGATTTTACTGAGGCGTGCTTGCGCGGGGAGACATCCTCTGGCATTTGTTTCAAAAGTGGAAATTAATTACCAGGAGACTGCTTTAGGAGTCTCTGTCTACCTATTTCTGAGCCGCAGGGAGAGGGCCCAGCTACGAGTGCTTGTTCAAGCAAGCTGAGGTCGGGCATTCTGGGTTTTGCAGGTCATTGACTTTAAACCGGGTTGGAAATCCTGGCATTGCCTGGTTATTTTCTCAGGGTGCAGCGTGCCTGGGTTTCAGTGATGCTCCCAGCATTTCATATGCAACAGGTTGTGCAGTGTTTGTAACTGATGTATCTGCAGCAGAAAGCTTGGAAGGATCACATATTGGTGCTCTATGGAAGAAGTGTGTTTGTTTAAGGTTACGTAAAGGGGAACTGAGACCCTCGTCCTAACGCTGATCTTCCATGAAATCAAAGTGCTCTGTGAGGAAGCCTGGATTTCTCCTTCTTTCACTTCCTTCTTCGGTTTTCTCCTCCAAACCCTGGTGAATAATGCATTGAGCTATGCTGCATGTAAAGGTCTTATCTGTATCGCACAGTTATCTATTTACTACTCTCTAGCTTGTGGTTATTCCCAGGAATGAGAAGTCTGTGCCGTCCATGCTTGGTTGCAGGGAAAGGATTCGGGCTTCCTGGCTGAGGAGGGAGCATTCCCACACACAAACCTGTGGCTGATTTTGCTGACAGCGAGGACTATTAGTCTCCTAGTTAGTTAGTTAGTTTCCTACTTAGTTCGGATTTCTGTCAGCTCTGTATTGCCAATTCCTTCCCCCTTTTGCTGCTCCTTCCTTCCCTTGGTTTGGGCACTGTAACTTTGGGAAGTGAAGAGAGCAGGAGTTGGTGATAACTCCAGGCTGCTCTATTCCATCCCCATTAGCAGGATGTCTGCCTCTGTGTGAGCCACTGAAGTGGTGTTGGGTGGTGGATGGATTGCTAAAGAAAAAAACAACAGAAATCCCCCGTTTGAGCCTTTCTGCTTTACACACAGACAGGGCTGTGGAAAGGCAGTGAGCAGGGAGGGAGGATGAGGTTTACAGCCCTGTGCTGGTGTTTTTACTGCCAGCTTGTGCTTGCCACTGCCTTGGGACATGCTCTTGGACGGCTTCCCTGGTCACTGAAGAACCTTCCCAGGTGGCTGAGAACTTTATGAACTGCTGTCCACCTGCCACCATAACCTCCTGGCTGTACCAAAGCTGGGGTCCAGATGCTGGCAGGATCAGCTGAGCTTTCCTCCCATGCAAGAAAAGCCTTTCTTGTAAAGCTCAAGCTTAAAGTAACTTTGCAACTGGCTGCGGTGTCCCTAAAAAGCAGGGATGGTCAGGGTATCCACTGCCCTGGTCTTATTCAGCAGGCTGGAGATCCAGCTGTATTCCAAGGTAACCACTTCCATTAGAGGTAAAAGAAAGCTTTTTCTGGGTTTTGGCTGCTCAGAAAGAGGGAATGAGCCATGCTCTTGCTCGTTGTTACTGGGAACAGTGATGATCAGCACTACACTGCTCTGAAGCCTTGTTTTGGTGTGTAAGGGGTTACCCGAGTGCTGGGTTTCACAAGGAGACTCATTATTGCTGGTGATGATGGATGGGGTGGGATTATGGTTCAGGAGCCAGGTCAGAGTTGTGCAGGGGGTACTTAACAGGCAAACTGTTATTTCTGCTGAAAGCCACATAGGTATATAGAGAGGTAAGCCCCTTCAGTGGCACTTCTGCTGTACTGCTGGCTGGAGGTGGTGCAGGGAAATGCCAGTGGCACCACCCAGTGTCCCTTTGTGCATCCCCAGGGATACTGGCTGGTGTGACAAGGGCTGGGCAACACTTCCTGCTTTCAGGGCTGTGGTGCAACTCACAACCATGCTAGCAGGTGGCTGGATATCCCACGGGGACAGACGTTCCCCATTTGCTGTCGCTTCCTGTGCCCGTTTCTGGTTGCACACAGTGCTGTGCTTTGCTGCTGTGATGGCTTGTGGGTTCCAGATAGGTGTGCTGCTGAAAGAGCTAAGGGAGAATTGCAAATAAGGCCAGTAAAACATTAATAAATCAATTCATATCACATTGAGTTGCAGCTGGCTACAGTCAACACAAGAGGGACATGGAGCTGTTGGAGCAAGTCCAGAGGAGGCCATGGAGATGCTGTGAGGTCTGGAGCAGCTCTGCTCTGGAGACAGGCTGAGAGAGAGAGGGGTCACAGCCCTCACTGGCACAGACCCTGCACTGAGTAAGGATGGAGAACACCATGGGGCAGCACCGGGTTTGAGGGAGAGGAGTTTATGGGGGAGATGTGGCATGTTTCAACGTGGTCAGGTAGCTAAATACCTTTTTCCCTTCTAAAATGCAACCATGACTAGGGTTGGCTGGGCAAATTCGTGCTGTTGATAGGTGAGTACCAGGGAAGTCCAAGTCCAAGGTGCCGTTATGGTGCTATGGATGCTGCTCCTGAAGCCATACTGTTTATGTCCAAATTCACTAATGAACCTGCTTAATGGTTTCGTACCTTGTCTGTGAGCTCTACAGCTTGAGCTTTTGAGGATGCAAAACCATAGCCTGACCCCTTGGGAAAGCATCCCAGTGGCACGTGAAACGGACAGCAGCCTGGGTTGAAACCTCTTGGCAGCGCTGGGTTTCAGGTAGAGGCAGGATGTGATCCCTCCAGGCTTCCCCATATACTTCAGGTATCTTCTGTTAGGAAAACAGCAGTGGTCTGTGTGTGTGACTTGCAGACAAGTGCCATCTCTGCACGTTATTCAGCTGGAAGGAGAGAAAACTGCATTGAGAAACCTCAGTTAAAAGGGAAATGAATTATCCCCAGGTTGCTCACATGGTTCAGCAGCAGATTTTAGCGTGGAAATCGTATATGGACAGTATTCTGTTAAGCTGTTGCTCTTTGCAGCCTATGAGAACTACACCAACAAGACAGTTTGGTTTTCTCCACGGTTAATTTTTATATATATTTATTTATTAAGTTCCTCTTTATAGGCAATCTGTTGGAGTGAATAACATTTGCCTGGGAACTGCTTTTTCTTTTTATTTCTAAGGTAGTTCAGTAAAATGGTTCATAGTGCCGTGGACCAGAATAATTCATGTTTAACAGACACAAACCTGCTGAAACCTGAACCAACAGGATCGAAAGCGCGTTGTCTCCAAACCAATGCCAGGCACTTTTAACTTTGGTGTTAGTTTCCCTGTTCTTATTATAGCCTCAATCAACTGAAATAGCTGAGGGAAGAAAATAGTTGTGGGGGTGGGAGAAGAGAGTGTTTGCCTTCAGAACATTCTTGAGTCTTGAGTGTGGTGCTTGTTTCTCCCTGGCTTTATCCAGTGAGACCAGCCCCGCTTTGAGACTGAGCTGACATCTGGCCCCTCTTGGCATGCTGTGCTTTGTGATGCTTTAAAAATAATCCTAAAGCATAAGTCCAGTGCTGGGTTAAGGTGTTGGGATGATGATGCTGGAAACCTCTGTCTCCCTGGGTTGGCATCCACTCAGCCCCTGATGTTTGCAAAAGATGGATGCCCAGAATTAAATAGGGATCCCTGGTTCAGCTCTTGGGGGTCAGCAAGTGGGTATTTGATGGTGCTAATGGTCAGACCTGGTTTGAGTTAAGAGTGGGTTAATGAAGGCATATAATTTTTAAAACAAGCCTACTGTTCATTAAGGATATAATTACCTTTATAACTAATTGCTCATGACAGATTTTTTCCCTCTCCTGATTTGCAGTCAGATGGCAGTTGGTTTTCAGCATGCCTGGGTTTTGATTTCCTTCCTCCTTCCTCCCTTTTCAGCTGGTTTTGAATTTATTTTACTTAACACATGATTTTTTTTTTTTTTGTGGGGGGAAGAAGAGTATTTGTCATTTTGCCTCACACAAAATCAAATCTAGGAACACATTAAGATTGAGTTCTGTTCCTGGAAGTATCCTTGGCTGATGGGTAACAAGGACATACTGTAACGCCTGTGAACCCATGTGGGGAGACTGAGGTGGAGAGGGAAACTGAAGAAGCGTCCTCGCTCTTTGAACAGCCTATTTCAGTGTATTTAGTAGTTGCAATTATTTAACAGCAATACTATAGGGCAAAAAGTGAACTCTTTGTGACTCAGCTAAGCAGGACTATCCTGCACTGGGCTATGAGGTGCAAAGTAGCAGCGTCTATCTTGCGTATTCTGCATCTTACAGGAGCTGTTATGTGAAAACCTCTATCAGAATGATCTTTGTTTGGGCTGTTGCATTGTAGGTGCTCCATAAACTGAACTTGGGAAGAGGACTAACATAGTGCAGCAGTATCTCTGCTGCCCAAGTATCGCCTAAGAGTGGCAGGGATACAGCCTGGGGAAACAGTTTTCTGTGGGGCTTGTTGAGGGAGTTGCTGTATCTTGCAGTAATTTAGTACTTTGGAAGCCTTACACCATCCCAAAACATTTTCATGTTTCTTAAGACTTCAGGAAACTAATCACCCTGATGTTCAGGAGAACTAGAGTTGTCTTTTCCCTAAAGAACCTAAATACTTTTAATCTGATTTATTATCTTCTTGTAGAAAAGGGGGACTTCATCCCTGTTCCTGGAAAGGTTATTCCCCTTCATTTTATTAGGCAAGGCAAAATAGAGATAGATTTTTTTTTTTTTCTCCAGCCAGGACTA